GGGGGTGAATTGTTGCTTTTAATGTTCACTGTGTGACTCCAAAGTTAAGATCCAAAGCCTACAAGTCCTTCAGGCAGCCTGGGGGTATGTGATAAAGTTCCTCCATACCTTTCTACCTCTATCTTTTAGTACTTTTAGTCTATTCTCTCTATGATTTCTTTGTGTATGAAGTCACTAGTTCATAACTATAAAATGTGTACAAATTTCAGTTAAAGCAATAGGATAGCTTGGCTCTTAGAGTTTGGTTCTTTGCATTATCTGGATTTTATTCCTAGTACCATTATAACAAATTGTTACCAAGTTAAATAAAAAAGTATTGTCTTACAGTTCAGTAAAGTCATTTCTGCACATAAGGTAACATATTCACAGGTTTGGACATGCAAACGCGGCTATTTTCACACCCAATGTTGTAAGCAAACTCCAGAGCTCTAATGGTTTTGTGCTCTGTCGACTTGGAGCTCATCTTGCTAGTTCCACTGTTCTAAACACTTATTGGCAATGCACAGTCACACCAGTGCAGATCATGGTAAGCATCCTTACCATATTTTCATATATGACATTATATCAATATCATATGAATTTAACAACATCATTTGTCTGATCTAGTTTAATTGCATTTATTTAAAGAAAATGTTCTAGAACACATTTCATCCTACAAACTAGCTATTTGGGCACCTGTATTTTGGCACCTTTGCCAATTTTGTATTAGAATGATACAAGACTATCACTTTGCTTACACAACAAATGAAATATGTGCTTGCATTCTCTCTGTGAGGAGAGCAATGGTCTTCACAGACAACACCAACCATCAGGCATATTTTGTGCTTTGAAGTTTCTGTGAGTGCTACATAAAATGAGTGTTTGTAGGTCTCTTGATTCAGCAACAGGGACACTGCATCTCTCTCTCTCTTTCTCTGCTTGACTTTATCCAGCAGCCCCAGGGCTTCTCAGTGGTTTAAACTCTACTGGTATACTCTGCACATAAAATAGCCTTTCAGAGTTAGTACAACCCAAAATTATTAACTATCAGGCACCAGTACAAGATTCTGTGTTCTTTTCTTTGATTCACTCTGATTTTCCTCCAGGGTTACAGTTGTTCTCAGCATCACACATAGTTGAAACACAGGATGAAAAAGAGGGATCTGTGTGCTATATCAGAGAAGAGCATTTTTCATAGAACAACTCAGCAGGCTTCTCTTCTGGTCCCTGTCCCCAGAACTGATTTTCATGTACAAACTGAATATGCAAAGAGGATATTAAACTAAGAGACTGGCATTTAAAACCTCTTCAATAAGAGACAACTTCTGCCAGTAAGGAACAAATGCAGTAAACTAATTTGGGGGAAGGCAAATAAATGTCTGTGTAATTTTATAACATTATATGATTGCACCACACTTTATCTTTGCACAACTCCTGGCCATTTATGCAGTTTCCAATCCATTAATGTTATGAAGAATTCTGAAATAGAATCAATAAATTTCTCCCATGTTCTAAATGTGCAAGAGTTTCCATATAATATACAACATACACCCTGCAAGGAATGGCTGTGGAATATATTTTCTCTTAATATGACTAAGTCGTTTTTAATGTAACTTATTAATTTACATTCCTTCCAGAAGTATAAATCCTTCTATACCCCCACATTTTCTGTTGTAGTTGATATGACCCAAAAGTTATTTTGTTTGTGAAATGTGAAGAATGAAAAGGATTTTTCATATATTTCTTACTACTCATGAGATTAAGCCTCTCTTTAGAAAATTCTTGTTTATTGCTGTTTACCTTTTGGTTAATAGTCTGTTCTTTTTAATTTTTCCATTTTCAATTTTTCCTATGTATAATAAATAGTACATATATATGTACATATCAGAAAAGACATTACTGTCTAGGACTGTATACATATACAGTGTATGTTTAATGATAGTAAAATTCATAATTGAGAAAATTAGTCTTACCAAGTTTGAAAAAAAGAAAAATTAGGGTGCCTCCCTAGAAGTAAACAAAGTATCAGATCAGACTAGGAAGATGCTCAGAGAAACCAGTAGTCACAGAAACAAGACCTCTAACAGTGAAGATTATATTGCCCCTAAGGAGAGATTGACCTTCCCTTTCACCATTAAATGTTACATTAGGAAGCAAGCTAGTGGACCTTGGCATTGTCTGAAAAGGGAGAGCAGAACTGGAGAGACAGCAGCATGGAGAGAGCTTTCAGTCCAGACAACTGTGGTGTCCTCCCATCCTTTTGTCTGGCAAGAATGCCTGAGCTTGGGCAGACTCAGCAAGTGGAGGTGATTATCACCAATCCTGACAGCCTGAATTTGATCCCAAGACCCACACGGTAAAAGAAGGAACTAGCTTTGGCAAGTTTCCTCTGACATACACAGACACATACACAGGCACGTGTGTGCGTACACACCCACCCACACACACACACACACACACACACACACACACACACACACACACAAATAAACAAATTTTAAAAAATTGATGCCACATGGATAAAGAGTACTATGCAGAAGTATCCAGGCACCAGTCACCTTTCCAGCATTGAGTCCCAATGGGTAACAATTTTCCAATTTTCACTGTAATAAGCGAAAGGGGTATGGGTGGGGGTTGGAAGAGAGCAAAAGAGGGCAAGTCAGGTCATTGCAGAAGGAGAGCTCAAAGATGTGTCCACATAGAAGAAGAATCAGTCTTCGAGTGTCTAACCCAGAGGACATAAACTCAGTATATCTCACAGTCAAATTCTTCCCCAAAGAATATATGGACTATTTAATTGCCACTACCACATGGAGAATGCTCTTGTGAAGGAGAATACTGCCAGGGTGTTTCTCTAGCTGCAGGCCAGCTATAAAGTGCCATTTTCTGCAGAGATGCATTTCTGGTTAATCTGTTGTGGTTGTTACCAGTTCTTAGGGCTGTAACATGTTAAATGCAGTTGAATAATTCCTCAGACAGAGGTTTAGAGAACTACAGTCTTTCTAAGATCATTGTATGTGGAGATAACATGCTTAGAATGTTATATCTATGATAAAAGACAAAAAGGGCAAATGTTAATATTGCCATTGAATATTTCTCTAATCAACATTTCATATTTTATCTGTCCCCCTTATGTGGCACTACATCTCAACCAGTTCATCATTTAATTAAAGGCTATTGTTTCATTTTATTTCCTGCTTTTTTGCATTTTAAAATCAGATGCTTTCTCGTTTTAATCCTGGCTACTGGTGTGATTTTTTTTTTAAAGCTATTGTTTTCCTTTATGCCATTGAGTTAAGTGGGTTTGGGGAAGGTTTATGTTCAAGAATTATAAGTTTCATGTTAGACTTAGATTACTTTTGTTTTCCCATTTTGAAAAATTAACTCTTCATCCGGGTTTGGAATTTACCATGCATAGGGTCAATAACTATTTTTAGAATATTTTTGTTATTCTAAAGAGAGGCAATTTTAAACACATTTTTCTAGAAATAACTTGAAGCAGGTTATATATATACATACATATATATATATGTATATATGAAGTTTAAGGGGAAAAGTAGGAATAAGAAATCAAAGACCAAAGAATTCATCAACATAGAGTCATTTGGTGGACTAACGAATGTTTCCATTAGCTCTGTTCTTTTTTTTTTTTTTTTTAAATCCTATCTAGTTTATTGGGCTTGCTAACAGAACATAGGGTAGGAGTTTATTTACAGAAGAGTGGGTGCCCCCCCCCACATTTACAGCTGCACTGGAAAGTCCACACTCAACTATAGATCCTGTGACTTCCTCACAGCGGCACAAAATGTCGAGATACCTTATGGTGTTCTCAGCTTGTATATCCTTAGCCCTTCCCCCACATGCAGCTAACATCGACTGATTGGGTGGGAAGGGTAACTGACTCCCCCTCAACTCCTTCAGGGTCAATAACTTTTGCTTTGTCTCAACTATGAACTACAAATTACTACAATCTGATTCTCATTTTTAAAGTCACTAATTAAGAATTTTGTACCTGTTTAGCATAGCTGTTCCAAGACAAGGAAAAATGTATTCTTTCTCTAACATTCTTGTATAACTACGAAATGATGTCTGCATAGTTAGAAAGTATGTATATGGTTTTACTAGTGGTAAGAGGACTCTCAGTTTGTCTGTGAGACATGAAAAAAAAACCTAGCCATGAGAGGAGAAACAAAAGTGATATAAATGGAACAAGAACAATTTTCAAAACTATATCAAGCATATGCTCAAGGCATTGGAATTAGCAGGACACAATAATAACACTGCTTCATTTCCATTAGGAGGTCAAAGAAGAACGTGTAATGGTTTCCTTGCAGTTTGATAGCTCTGAGTCAGAAGATTCAGCGGACAGTTCTGAATTCAGTTTGCATTGGATGGGGACACTGATAGGCGAGGACTTCTAGAAATTTTGTGGACATAATTTTCAAAGAAAGACCTTTTTTTTCCATTTTTTTAACCCTCACAATTTGGTTGTGATTTACACAGCACCTGCTGTTGAAGAAGCTGGTAACACAGAGATTCTGAGGTTAGCACCAGCACAGCGCTTAGTAGAATGGAAACATTACCAAAGACATGAATGCACAGTGAAGGACATATCTTTTCTGTGGCTCACATATTTTAAGCTAAATATGTGAAGATGTCACTTAAATAAGAGGAGAGATAATCAAAGGGTACCTCAAGGAAATAAAGAGGAAACTCATAGCATGGGTGTGTAATGGATTTTTATTTGTAGAAATAATCAAATCATCTTAAGAGCAAGAATCCACATCTAAACCATATTTCCATGCATCCCGATGGGATTACAACCCAGCAAACAAAGCATAGACAAATCCTGCAGCCAAAAAAATGACAATGTCAAAGTGAGTTGGGAAAATTTGCATCCAGAAAGAGGTTTTTTTTTTTTATTATACCAGAGAGTGGTGGGAAGAGACACCTGCCTCATAACTGAAAACTGGTACAGAGCTTCTGAGTCTTTGTTCCAGAAGATACTTCAGAGTAGAAGCATGATGCCCATCCAACTCACTATCTTTTCTATCATCATCTATGTGCTTGAATCCTTGATAATAATTGTACAGAGTGGCTTAACTGTTGCAGTGCTGTTCAGAGAGTGGGTACACTTCAAAAGACTGTCACCTGTGGAAATGATTCTCATCAGCCTGGGCGTCTCCCATTTCTGTCTACAATGGGCATCAATGCTATACAACTTTTGTGTCTATACTAGGCCTGATGAGATATTTTGGACTTTATCTCTCATCTGGGATCTCTCTAATAGTTTTTCATTCTGGTTAACCAGTTTGCTTGCTGCCTTCTACTGTATCAAGAGCTCTTCCATCACCCACCCCGTCTTCCGCTGGCTGAGATGGAAAATTTCAAAACTGGTTCCTTGGTTAATACTGGGTTCTCTGTTGATTTCTGGTGTGACCGTCATCCCTTCTGCTGTTAGAAATAACATCCAGATGGAAGTAATCACCCTGGATCATTCACCTAGAAACAGTACTTTGCTTGCAAGACTTAAAGTGTCTGAGCAGTATTTTTACAAACCTCTTAAAATGGTTGGGATGGCTGTTCCCTTCCTTCTGTTCCTGGTTTCTATCATTGTACTTATTGCTTCATTGGTCCAGCACTGGGAGCAGATGCAACAATATAATACCAGCACCTCCAGCATGAGAGCCCAGTCCATTGCTCTGAGGTCTCTTACCATCTTCTTCATTTTATCCACTTCTTATTTTTTGATTGTATTACTCTCTATAATTGGCAACATATTTGATAAGAAAACATGGTTCTGGTTCTGGGAAGCTGTCACGTATGGTGTAATCTGTATTCATTCTACTTCAATGCTGCTGAGCAGTCCTACATTGAAAAAGGCTCTGAAGATACAGTGTTGAAGCCCAGAGGCTGCCTGAGGCACAGGATACAGAAGCCGCTGGGGAAGGGGTACTTTGTATTGGTACAGTTCCCTATCTAACTGTGAAATGCCACGAATGCAGATTTCATTCTCTTTTATGCCACAGCCACCTGTTTCTAACCAGTCTTCTCTGTATTTTGACCTATTCATTTCCTGTCCCTTCCACAATCTCCAGGCTAGTCTTGATTTTCTCATGATTGCTGCATCTCTCCTTAATTTTTACCACCTCTGGAATTTTAAACGTGGGATACTCAACATATGGCAATCAAAATCATTCTACTGATTGTTGATTACTTCACAAATTAAGATCAATTCTCTTCCTCACAGGAACTTACTGCCCATGCACTGAATGCCCCCAGTGATAAGCCACTGACTCACCTTTCTAACTTCAGTCTAAAAAAGGTTTTACTATTCTACCCCAACCCCCACTCCGACCCTGCTGCTTCTGGACCTCTGTCCAATGGTACATGTCCCCCCCCCCCTGCTTCTCTCTGAATGCTTTCCCTTTATTTCTGAAAGGCACTGGTTGAAATTTAGCTTTTCTTTCATTTCATTGACTAAAACATTGTATTCTCAGAACAGCAGCCCACTTACCCAGTCTAGGCTCATCCTTAATACTCTCTAACTATTAATGATCTAAATGAGTCAACATATAACTTTTATTGACTTGATTCTTCTTTCAGTTTTACTGTAAGCTACAGTGAACTTTCTAGAAAGATGCCTATACTAATGTATAACTGGTATTTTGTTTATTTATTGCCCTACATAACCCAGATAGCTAAGAATCCCTCTTACATCATAACATCTGAGTGATGCAAGTTTTATTTTCTGTATCTTATTATTCTGTGTTTATAACAATCCAAAATTCTCCCAAAATGGATAAGAATACAGATACCAGAGTAATTAATCTTTAACTCACTAGTAAGACAATATGTTCTATAGAAATCCATTTCCCTTCCCCAATCTAACTGACTTCTCTCATGCCTTTTTCCTTACAGGATCTGGTCCTAATTTTCCACATCATATTTCTCTCTTCATCTCCCTGCTTTTCATACCGATTTACTAGCAACCAAGTGTCTTAGTAATAGCCAATTCTGAGGTCTTTAATTCTCTATTTCTACCTGTCCCAGATACTGTCAATGGATATCTCCTAAGAACATTCAGATCTCTTCCAACATTCTGGTGCTGGGGTGAAGAACATAATTTTTCCAGCTTTTATGTATAGTGGACATAGTTGATAAACTAAACCTCTAGTTCTCTCATTAGAAAACTGAAATTGTTCCTGAAATCAAATCATACTAGGGAGAAAAGGATACAGGTAACTCATACTTGATTGTGAAAAAAGGTTTTCAGTCCTAGAAAGAAATGGATATTCTGATTTGGTCTTGAGTCAATCATTCTGACATGTCTCCATGTTGAATTTCCATCTGAAACTGAGTGTGAATTCAAGGAAAAACTTTAAGACCATTTCCTAAAATCTTCCATTCAGCATAGCTCAGCAGCATAGCAAGTATACTCTCCTGTGAAGCATCCCGTGAAGCCTGTACATCTCCTGAGCTACAGTGGTTTAAATTCAGCTAAAGGTGGGATGGAAACTGATGGGCGTGTAATTTCTGGCGAGCACAGTCATAATCACCTGAACTGAGACTGAACAGAATAAATGTTAACAATTTGACCAGGAGCTGCTAGAAATGCTTTGTAAACTTGTGGAAGGTTGGGTTGCAAGAGTTTGAGACCTTCTCAGAATGGGTTGAATAAGAGCCACTGGAATTTGGATTATATCTCTGTCATTTGTATCTATATCTGTAAGGGTTCTTTCACCTCTCAGATAGTTGGAAGAAATGAGAACTGTTCTCTTTACGTGTGTAAAAATAGAGAACAAGAAAAAAGAACCCCCTCTTCCCCACTATCACACATACAGATACTATTCCAGAAACTGTTAAATATTTTTAGTGTTCTCACTATCTTCCTTTGAATAAAGTGAAGAGGGAAACGTATCCATGATATTCATGAGGTTGGGGTGTTAGAAGCAGCTGAAGGGATGTGGAAATCTAAAAAGAAAGGAAATAGAAACAGATATGACAGATGTCTTGCATATTTTGGTATCTCTTAGTTCACAAAAAGGTTTCACATACATTACCTTGTTTCAAACTGAAGGACAGGTCAAGATTACCCAACCAACCCAGCTATAAAACAGACCTCAGAAAGTCAAATCTATACTGACGTCTAATTCTGAACACAAAGCCAATAAAAATGGATAGGACAGGAAGGGGTGCTTCAATTTGGAAAAGGGAAGGAGATTCTTTAGAAAGAACAGCAAAGTGACTATGGCCAACTATAGCAAATTCTTCTGCGAGCTTTAGTTAGCTAGGCACCAAGAGGGTAATGTAACTATTATCCATGCCATCAAGCTCTTCCCTACATTAGGCTCTTATCCTCTGCAGTGAGTGTGTTGCCTGATAATCTATAACATATGGATACTGGATGATTAAGAAGGCTTCTGGGTTTTAGGAGCAAATAAATGTTAAGAAGTTCATGGGTAGCAAGAGTGAAGTTAAGAGGCACCTTCTGAGGACTGTCGTCTGGCACTTGCCAGACATACTCTAAATAGACATCAAATTGTTAGCATCTAGAAAGTAAACCTTTACACTTTATATGCAGCCCCATGATCTTGATGAATGCTCATAACACTGTCATGACTGGCAACAGTGGTGAATTCCTAATAACAGCTATTATGGAGTCTGCTCATAATTAGACGTGTCACAGTTTCTGTTCAATAGATGGAATTCTCTCTTCCCTTTCCCTCATTCCTACTACACAGGATACATGGGTACAAGATCTTCTATTGCACCTTTTTGCCGCTTTCTGAACCTGGTAACCAAGATATTCCAAGATCAGTGTCTGAATCACCAGCCAAGCTTTAACTTCCAAAAACCTCTAAACACTTGTGTTTTTATGAAACATGTCATTGCTGATTCCAGAATATCAATATCTATGCACAGGATGTTTGTATAGAATACACCATGCATAGGAAATGTGCTCCTCAAATTGGTCGTCATCACCTTTTCAATATTCCCTTTTTAAAGGCATTGCCTTTCATTACCTAACACCATCCCTGCTCATGCATGATTACCAAAAGTGACACTGGTTTTTGCCCCTCAACAGGGAGATCTAACTACTCAGAGCATCCCTGAACCAGCCAAGCTTTAACTTCCAAAAACCTCTAAACACTTGTGTTTTTATGAAACATGTCATTGCTGATTCCAGAATATCAGCCAGCCAAGCTTTAACTTCCAAAAACCTCTAATCTAAACACTTGTGTTTTTATGAAACATGTCATTGCTGATTCCAGAATATCAATATCTATGCACAGGATGTTTGTATAGAATACACCATGCATAGGAAATGTGCTCCTCAAATTGGTCGTCATCACCTTTTCAATATTCCCTTTTTAAAGGCATTGCCTTTCATTACCTAACACCAATTTGTATAGAATACACCATGCATAGGAAATGTGCTCCTCAAATTGGCCATCATTACCTTTTCAATATTCCCTTTTTAAAGGCATTGCCTTTCATTACCTAACACCATCCCTCCCTGCTCATGCATGATTACCAAATGTGGCACTGGTTTTTGCCCCTCAACAGGGAGATCTAACTACTCAGAGCATCCCTGATCATTTTGCTTTTGAGAAGTCCTGGATAGAAAAAGACTGATTTTTCTACAGCAGATCCAGAGCAGAAAGGTGTTTAGGATAGATGACTCTTCCTTACCAAGGAATGGTGAAGCACAAAATCATCCATCTCAGGATTCTAAAGAACTTTCCTTTCCTTTTTAAAGAAAGGAATCAATTTGCATTTGGACTCTCCGCTACAGGAGGTACTCATGTTCAGATTACACCACCAAACAGGACATGGACCTTTTCCCTGTTTCCTCTTGCCCCGCTCAGTTGATGCTACTACAGAAACTGGAAGGAAAATGCAATAGGAAAGTGAAAAAATATCCCTTCTGGCTTCCCTGCTGCCTCGCAGCTTCTACATCAGACCAAAGATAAAGGGGAAAATTAATTTTTATTGGGTATAAGATTAATGCTTAGATTTAAATATTTAAAACCAAAAAATAAGAGCATTTTAATAGATTCTCCAGATCTATATTTCCATGAAAAGTTTTTTTAATGTTTTTTATTTAGTAATCACATGAAGAATTAATTTTTATTGGGTATAAGATTAATGCTTAGATTTAAATCTTTAAAACCAAAAAATAAGAACATTTTTATAGATTCTTCAGATCTATATTTCCATGAAAAGTTTTTTTAATGTTTTTTTATTTAGTAATCACATGATTAGAAGAAGCATTTCATTACAGCTTTAACATATTCAGTAACACATTCCAGAGCAAGGATACATCTTTTTCAAAGGTGGCTGTAAATTTTTAGGTTCACAGTTGAATTAATACAGTCATACAATATTGAACTCAGTATAAACCCTGC